CACGTGATCAAAATGTCTTACCTGGGGGTGGGGGAGTAAGCGCTACTATTAAAATGATATTAGCTAATATATGTCAGTGCCCTAAATGAAGTTTATATTTTCAATCATTGATTAAAATATAAAATAAAATTATATATATTTGCATATTGGATCAAATGTTGACAAAAGATTTTTTTTACTATCTATTGTCTGATCTAATTATTATTATTAAAAATATCTTATAGGTTTAGAATGTAAATGGAATACCACCCCCACTTTAGAACAATTAAGCATCAATATAAAAAAAACATTACACATATGTAAAAATGTGATGCTATCTTTCGGGACTATATGGTATATTGAGTAAAAAAAAAAACTTATACAAAGTGTAATTTTGAGGAGTTTTGATTTGTGGCATAGTCCATTTAACTTTAGGAATCAAATGAGGAGTATTAACTGGAATTTGTTTCTGAGTTGGTGTTTTTGTCAGCTTAGCAATTTTACCTAGAGAAATTTCTTTTCATGGACCAATGTGAGGTAACTCTTGTACTTGTATATAATGTAAATCTGGAACAATGACACCACAGGAAATTAAATCAAATATTTTGTTTTGTTGGTTGGTGTTTGCTAATGTATTTGAGGTTGTCATTTTTGAGAATAATAAATAATAACAATAAAATAAATAACAAATTTAATTCAAGGTGGATTTAATTATTATGATTGTATTTTAGTTTGTTAAAAATGTTGAAAATAAAAAAAAATTAGAATTTTATTATATAAAATAAAAAAAGCTGTGTCACAAAGTTGCCATTTTGGACATTAGTAAATTTATTATGAAATTTGCCCCAATGATTTTATATGAAAATCCCTGGTTGATAAAAGATCTGTGAATTAATAATTACATCATTGCAGATTCGCAAACCAGGATGCTTTGCATTTAGTTTGGGCATAGCCCTCACAATTGGCACTTCGTGCCTCAGCCTCAGGTGATGAAAGCAATCAAAGGACCAAAGAAAGCCAAAAACCTCATCAAAAAGAAGCAAATATCAAGCCAACTAGACACCAAAACAGGTACCCAAAAATAATTAGGTAACAGTCTAATCATACATAGGTAACAGTCTAATGCAAGTAGATAGTAATATAAATATATTACTATCTACTAGAGCTTCTATCAATACGGGAGAGGGTTCATTAGAAAGCTATAATGTCATAGTAAATCCAAATTATGTCACATATATACATGCAGCCCAAAGTATTTTGACACTGTCATAAAGGGGGTTACACATGTAGTAAAGGGGTGTTACACTTATG